TTTTTCTAATCAATATTAATTATTTATTCCAACATGAAATTATTAACATTATCATCATTTATACCCGCACATACACAAATCTAGGTGTACAAAGCCTCTTTAAGTCAAACGCTGACCTACAAAATTTCTCTGACCGCACAAAATTAAAGTGCAAGTATCTACGATACGATTGAAGAAGACACAAAGTGTCGAGTTTGGACATGTGTTTGTATAATGCCTACAAAAGTAAACAAAAAAGAAAGAAAAAAGACGGAGACACAAATTTGAGTTCACTTCTATTGTCAAAGTTTCAGGCCTCCATTTTTAGTGGGGTTAGGCGCACTTAAACGATTTTATAGCGCTTTGACTTCAACTGTAAATACATACAAACATGTATGTATATAAATATATATAAAAAAACACTTTTATTTTAGTTTTAGGGAGATTTTCTCATTTGTGACTTGTGACTTTGACTTTGACAGCTGATTGACTCGAAAGGTTGGCGTCAAACCATTGTAAATAATATATACATTTGTAGAACTATATAATATGTGTATATATATAGAATATATTTCTATGCCTATGCGCTAAAAATTCATTTGTCGACCAAAAACAAAAAAAGAAAGACGAAAACACTTCGACTTCACACTCTGCTAGGGTTCAACAACTCTGTGTTGACTCTTTCACATGTTTCTAAAATCATCCCGACATATGCATGCCTATATGTATGTATGTATGTACACTGTTCATTAACACTTTTTGCAAATAATGCCTCAAAATCATAAATACCTTTTCCAACAATTCGCGCAGTTGTTCAATAAATACACACACACTAACACATATGCGTGTCGCAACACTTTAAAGTCAAATTGATTTTGTTATTGAAATTCACAATCAGAATTTCCTTCTTTAATTTATTTAAATATTTAAATTTATTGCATTTCTCTTTTCGTTGACTTTCTTTCCTTCATTGGAGCATGAAATGCCAAATACACTGAGTTGTTGTTGCTGTTTTATTATCACTTTGTCGCCTGTGTCCAGCAGAAATACACGCACGCACGCACACGCACACAAACTTTATGTTGTTCGTCGTTGAGTAAGCGCCGTGTCTTGAAACCGAAGCGACCGTTTGGTTGTAACGTTGAAGCTCAACTGAAAGCTGAAAGCGGTTTTCACTATGCTTTGACTGTGCACAGCACTGAACTTGACTCGAACTCGAGAGATGGTGGTGTGTTGGACGCGTTAGAGCCCGTCGCTGCTCTAGAGGCTAGAAGCCGTATGCTTGTTTGTGTGTGTGTGTGTGTATATGGTGAATGTTGGCGCTTGCTGCCTTTGGGGAAAATTATGTTGTTCACAATCTGTCTCTTATACACATCTAGATGTGTATAAGAGACAGCGTTAGAGCCCGTCGCTGCTCTAGAGGCTAGAAGCCGTATGCTTGTTTGTGTGTGTGTGTGTGTATATGGTGAATGTTGGCGCTTGCTGCCTTTGGGGAAAATTATGTTGTTCACAATTGTTTGCTTTTCAATCGTCGTCGATGGTTGTTGCTGCTGGTGTTGCTTGTCACCACATAGCCATAGCGCTAACAGTGGTACAGTGGGGTTAAAGTGGTAAACATTTTTTTTGTTGTAAAATTCAACTTTCTCAAATTGTAATGTGTTTTAGTGAACTTCATGTTACATGGGTTTCATTGGGTAAAAAACAGCAATTTTTTAAAAAAAAAAAAAAAAAAAAATTAATAAAAAAAATTAAATATTTCATTGGAGTTTTTTATTGTTGCAAACAGACACTATTAACAAAAAAATTCCGAAATTTTTGGAAAAATATATTTTTAACTCGGCCCTTGGTAAGCGATTTACGGTGACCCCTCGGAGAAAAGATGCACCCCCGTGGCCAGAAACCCTTCAACTTATGTAACCCCTTAATATTAGTATTGAAAGGTCAAAATTATATAGGCATCTAATCTAGCTTCTTCAAAATTATAGCCTGTTTCTTAGTCGAAGAAACATCGGTGCTTATAAATGGCACACCCTAATAGAGATAACAGTGTTGACCTTGGAAAACCATTTTTTTACAATTTTATGATATCTTTTATAATTTTAAATTACAAAGTTTAGATTGTTGTAAATTCTATCGAAAATATATCTACATACTATACTAATATTAATTTATTTAAAAGTCATTTTTGAATTTTTCAAAAAGGTGGTAACACTACGCAGTGCCATTTTTAACATTTTTTTATTTGATGTTCATTTGTTCATTTATTTTATCACTAAATTACTTTTTAATTTATATCAAATAAAATATTTGAAAGGGTGACAACCATTTCACAAAATATTTGCAACAGTAACAAGAATTTTTTATATGATGTACATTTGTTAACTTATTTCACCACTCAATAACTTTTGAGTTTTTAATAAATATAATTTTTGAAAGGGTGGCAACCTTTTTCCAAAATATTTCCAACAGTAACAATAAAAAAATCACTAAATTACTTTTTAATTTTTATTAAGAACAATTTTTAAAAGAGTGGTAAACTTTTCCGAAAATATTTCCAACGGTAACTATAAAGTTTTTGCTTTGATGTTCAATTGTTAATTTATTTTATCACTCAATTGCTATTAAATTTTTATTAAGTACAATTTTTAAAAGGGTGGCAACTTTTTTCCAAAATATTTCCAACAGTAACAATGAAATTTTTTGTTTCATGTTCATTTGGTCATTTATTTTTTCACTCAACAACTTTTAAATTTTTATTATATATAATTTTCGAAAGGGTGACAACCTTTTCCCAAAATATTCGCAACAGTAACAAAGAAATGCTTAATTAATTTCTTTTATATTAATAAATCACCTACTTTGTTAATTTTATTTCAATAAAATAGTTTAACAAGTGGCAACCCTACGAATTATATTTTTAATCGTAACCCTTTTGAAAACGCTTTAGTTCTAAACCCATATTGCAATAACTTTTTTATAAATTTTATTGTATAACATGTTTCAAAAGGTGGCAACCCTATTCAAAAGTATTTTTAGCTATAAACTTTCAAAAACATTTTCATTTTAAATCAATGTTTTAAAAATCAAAATTTTAAGAACTAATAATTTTTTAATTATGTTGTTGTAAACCATTCTAGTAATTTTCAGAAAAGTGTAAAGCAATTCTATAGAGGGGAACTCTTATCTATTATTTATTTAATTATGACATTGTAAAATTTATTTTTCAATTTTATTGCTTTAAAATGTCGGATAACAGGAATTTTCAGAATTGCTCTCCTCAAGATGTACATGCGACAGAAAAAGTATTCGGTACTGAAATGTTAATGTTAACAAAGGCATATACTATGAAACTGTTAAATTAATTCTAAAATTAATTAAAAACTATAAATTTGCTTCCCTTATTAAGCAAATTAGAACACTGTACTACTTATAATTGTACTCGCACAGATATAAGCTGGCAACAGTAGCATCAAATCTGTATTAAGCTGTCACTGTTGACATTAACATAGATCCGATAGCATCTATTGGTAACAGAGTATTTCCATAACAGGTTTTTTTTTACTACCGCTGGCTGTTAAATGTTATTAAATGGGTGCTAAATATTTTCCTACATTAGTGTCCATTTTGAGGCAGTTTTCAGAAAAAAAGTAGTAAATCACTCAATTTTATGAAATTAATGGATTTAATAACTGCTGTCCGCACGAGTTTGGTTTTTGTAATTTATGCAGTTGCGAGGGTATTGTTTTTACTTATTGTTGCTGCATACATTTTGTTTTTGGTATTGGCATTTACAGGGGCAAGTCTCAAGTTTATTGTCCTGTAATTGCAATTCCATCGGAATTTTCCTGTTTTAGACGTCGGTTATGCTTAGTCAATGAAATTGCAACGTGCCATTAAAGTCGCACAGTAAATAATTATTTCCGATTTTAATTGGAAGTCATATGAATGTGGATATGTTATAAGATATGGTGACAAGTTCAAGTTCATTTGCAAGTGTTTTACTATAGATAAAAGCATTAATGTGGTAAGTCTTTCGCAATCTTCTGCCGAAACCTAAAGTTTTCTCAGCATGAGAATGAAGTACCGACAAAGTTGACAAATTTCCTGTGAAGTATATGATATAATGTACAAAGAGAGGGCTTAGATGTTTTGGTTTCTAAGGACAGATTTACAGTCACATAATTCCCACAACAGCCAGTTCTACGCAATAGCAATTTACTCAGTTCTTATCCGTAAAAGGGCTGTTATTTCAGGGATCTAATCTTGTTTTGATCTGTAACGAGAAAGGTAAATAGCATTGCTTTAAAGTCAGTAATTGGCGCAGATTGTGGCGTCTCCCTTTTTGTGGATTGGGCAGAGCACACCTAAATTTCAATCGTTGGCCATACTTTTGACCGACCATATTCTAGAAAGAAGCTGATGCATGCCCCTTACCAGTTCTTTGCCGCGGTATTTGAATAGCTTGGCGGCAATCCACGGCTTTCAACCCTTTGTTGTTCTTCAGACGGGTAATTGCTATTCGAACTTATTCATGGTGGGGCAATAGAACGTCCGCTTCATCGTCATGGATTATGGAATCGGGTTCACCATCCCCTGGTGTTATGCTTTCAGCAGGCTGGAGAAGTGTACCATCCATAATTTCAGAATGCTCTTGGTATTAGTTACTAGATCACTTCAAGTGATTCTACAAACGTATAATGCGGCCTTGAAATCTTCGCCGCATCTTTTCTTAGAATTTTTGAGCATTACCCCTGTCGACCAGCTTATCAAGACCTTCATGCTCACGCATTTCGGCTTCAGTATTTTTTTGTCTGTGTCGCTTTCCTCTTTAGAAGGTCATATACCTCTCGCTATTTCCATGATCGACATTTTACCTCCATCTGCTTTAGAAATGCTGCGCTCATATTCGTATGTGGATCGATTAACCAACTATTTCTTATATTTCACTGAAGCCAGTTCCTTCAAGTTTGCGCTTTACAATTGTCAAATGTTTTTTTAATACTTTTACTAATAGAGACATAGCGATGAGTTAGTAGTTGCTTTTGGTTAAAAAATATAGCGAAACAAATCATAAAATCAAAGTAATGAAGGCGCGTCTAACTTGTACAACTGGTCCGTTATGCTTCGCGCGCATGCGAAGTATGAGCCAAGTTGCTGTCACCGACGCTTTTCAATGTCAAGTCGACGACAGTGCAATGACATGACGATTTTAATGCAACATTATTGCCTTTATTATATACATTTATTTAATTTAGTTATATTAGGTGTTTATTAATTGGGAAATACAGGAAGATTACAGTTTTAAGGCAAGCCTTCGACGCAATAAGGGAAAGCAATCGAACTGGGTCGACCAGTGAGCCCACCAGAGCGGGAAGTTTACAAATGGACTGTTTGCAGACTGGACTCTTGGAGTGCCGGACAGATTGCAGTAAAAGTCAAGTAAGGCATTAAATTACACTTCAACTTACTTTTCTAATAAAGTTTAATGCTTTTCTTGGGAGGTATAAAATTTATTTTTACAAAGCATAATAAATTTGTTGTGTGATAATTCGAAAAATGAACGTAGAGGCACACCTACTTGTTATGAATTTACCAAATATAGTTTACTATGTACTGGGTTTTAGAAATGAAAGAAATTTGCTATTACTCTGGCCGCTCAAATCAGAATCGCGGAAAAGTTAAACTCTGGTGGCGATATGATCCTGCCAGCACTGCTGAGTTATTTTAATACGCCGTATCCTCTTAGTTTGTTAAGACTTTCTATTACATTGTCAACTGTATTATTCTAACAAATCCTTGCTTTTTTTATAATAATTTCCCATTGAATCTCTCACTTATCTTCGAGACACCCACTTTCTGCTATAAAACGTTCCAACATTACACCGTCAGAGACATGAAAGAAAACGTTTTATTTTAACATCGATTTCACCATAAAAACGAAAGATCAGCAAGGAGGGAACTTAGAACAGGAACTGATGCTTTTTTATATCCGGTAAAGGAATGTCACTACAGCAGTTAGTACAAATAAATTACTTTTTATTTAAGAAAGTCAGAAATTTGAACAAGGAAAACTTCTGAGCCAATAAGAGATCTCATAATTTCGAAGACCCAGATATTTTTGTCTATCTTGGAACCAGTTGGTATTGATACCAACTTCAATGTCAGCCTCGAAATCCAACGTAGAATAACTCTTACCAGCAGGTACTACTTCAAACTGAGTAGGCTATTGAGAAGTAAAGTACTCTCTCGAATACCAAAGACCAAACTCTACAAGTCACTCATCATCCCCGTCCTGCTATATGGTTCCTAGGCATGGACGATGGCAACATCTGATAAGTCGACGTTGTTGCGAGTTTTCGAGAGAAAGGTCCTGCGGAAGATTTATGGCCGGATATCAGATTCGATCGAGCGATGAGTCGTATGAGTTATATGACGACATTGACAAAGTTCAGCGAAACAAAATACAGCGACTACGTTGACTAGGTCATGTCGCTCTGAATGGACAAAAACACTCTAGCTCTGAAAGTATTCGACGCAGTACCCGCCGGGGGAAGCAGAGGAAGAGGAAGACCTCCACTTTGTTGGAAAGACCAGTCGAAGAAAGACCCGGCACTTTACTTGAACGACTGGCGCATTGTTTTAAACTCGGCTGTAACCGCGTAAACGTTGTCTTTTCCAATAAAGAAGAAAAAAAATCTTTTTACAGAATGGATGGGAAGGAGGTGCGTTTTTACGTTCGAGAAGAGGGAACTATGAACTACAACAGTAGACTTAAAATAAGCACAAAAATGAGTTCTCTAAGAAAAGTGGATTACCTCAAGGAACAGCCAGCACCTTGATTTATGAAAAGTCCTCTTAAAGTCTCCTCTTTAAATCAGTGTTCTTTAGTAAAAGAACGTGTCGTAAATGGTTTTATATGCTGAGTATTTGGTAAGACCAGCTCGGCGAAGTGTTTGATGATTTCTTGCAACCAGGCAAATCACTGGGGCCTTGTATCGGACGCTACTAATATGTTTGAATCGAGCATTGAAGGAAAAAGACAATAGTTCAGCACGACAACACTCAGTCACGTGCTACCAAGGTTGTGAAAACATATCTGGAAACTTTGAATTGGGACATCCTACCGCACCCGTCACACTCTCTTGACAACGCACCTTCTGATTTCTCTTTACTCTGATTGATGACGCACGACCAGGCCGTACAGCTCTTTCATTCAAACGAAGAACTAAAAAATGGATCAATTCATGGATCGCGTCAATGGACAAAAAAATGTTTCGACGAGGAATGCAGAGGCTGGAGCAAAGAAGGAAAAGAGGTGGCAATATAATGATGGCAAATATTCGAAGACAGAGTATGTAACGATTTTCTTTCCAACAAATCGCCAAATCATGAGAAAAGCGGTGGTTTTTTATGATAATAAATAGCAAAAGAACAAAAAATGTCTCTATCACTAATGGACATAAAAATAGCCATATAACAAAAAACCAAAAAAGTTGTCTATTTTTAGGCGCACTCGTAAGTAAAATTGCTGAATCGTTGGCAAAATAGTGAATGCGAATACAAACACTGACAACTACGAGTTTGTGCACACACATACGTATTCCCGTGCATTGCTGGTACAATATAGCCCGGTGAGCCATTGTCATTTACTTTAGTCGTTTTAATATTAAATACGTAAAATTCACTAGAAATATGTGTCCCATCGAACGACCAACTGGTATAAACTATTTAAACTGGCATAATCTCTTTAATGAGTTGATATGAAGTATGTTCTCTCCCACCGAGTTCACATTCATATGATCGCTTTTTTACATGACAGCACAGGCCAAATATACCGAGCCATGAAGTTATGAATTGAAGCCGGTAACTTTTAATGAAATGAGATCGTTGAAACACCGTACTATTAAAACGTTAGGAGACCTCGCAACAGACAAAGCAGCACGGGCCTTGGCGCCTTAAAAATCTTTCACTGTAGATCTAAGTGGAATTTATCAAAATCGAGGATAGATACATTGTGGCACCCTTTGTTCGAGAATATATTCTAAAGCAAATTTGTTAAGAGAAAAAATGGGAGATCAAAAATTTCTAGTCTGTTTTACATGATATGTCCTGTCCTGTGTAAAATTTTTCAATATTCACTGAATTTATAACAAAAAAGAAAAGTGCGCAGATAAATCACTTTAGTTCGAAGTAAATCTATAAGAATTTTACCGCTTGGTGCCAGAGAAACAATAGAGCATCTCTTTTGTACTTGTCCCGCATTGGCAAGACGCTGTCAGTGAGGCCGCAGAGTCTGTTAAAATTCGCGTCAAGCGAAGGCATCTTTAAAGATGACTACTTCTCATGGACTTAGCAACTGAACTTCATCTTGTATCGCAAAAGGCCGAAACTGATCTATGCGTGGCATATTGCCCTACCAGATGAACCTAACCTAACATAATCTAAATCCACAAAATATTGAATTCAATTTAAGGTTCACTGGGAAAAATATCTTTGACGTCACAACTGACTTATGTATTCACCACATCACTACATTAACGGCCATCAATTTTCGTTTGGTTCATGGAAAATGAGGAAATAAACAACAAAATTTCGCATCCTGACGCTCTCTGCCTAACATGAAGATGGCAAGGGCGCGAATAAAGAGACTACCTTGAAATTGAAACGTGCTGTGAGTTCAATGTCATGGGCAGGAAGCCAAAAAACATAGGGAAGCATCTAAGAATATAAGATGAATGACAAATTAAAAAAAGGAAAAAATAAATTAGCTGGAAACAACAAAATCACGGTATATTTGGAAAATCACTTCTTTATCCATGTGCGCGTGAAGCATAAGCATTCTTTCTTGCTTTAATTAGAAAATATCGGAAGCTAAATTTAATTATACAATTGTCTTTAAATAGCTCAAGCTTCCAATACTTTCTAAAAGCACCTCATGCGTTAATAACTGCAGAAGTTCCATTAACGCCTTACCGACATTCAACAATTTCCTCGTATAATTCAAGATCATGGACATTACGTCTGGAGCATCTACTAACATGGTTTGAAGGTGAGACGGCAAAAGCAAAAACGAACGCAGCCAGAAGCAAAGCCACCAAGGCTGGTGGTGACGACGCAGTCGGTGTACGAACAACCAATTGCAGAAAGGGCTGAAAAACTAAACTCGTTTGCAGCGAATATACGTGAATAATAATGCAGCGAGAGCAATGAGAGCAAGAGAGAGGCCGAACGGGAGAGCGCTTCACCAAAAGCTCTTATAAAGTAAGCAAAGTTCGGTTGGTAACTTAGGTAAGTAAAGAAGCCTTGTATTTGTTATATATGTTTTCAAACTTTACATGCAAGCTTCGAAGAACTAAGGTTTGTGTTTAGGCTTAAAATTAGCTCTTTTCAGTGCCATTATTTATGTTTCTACTACGTCCTCGGCAAGGTCGAGTCAATAAGGATTTTTAATTTTTGGCATCACTGTGTGTCTCATGTGTGAAAGAGATGGAGCTTATGTAGCATCAAAGGGATCATTCGTATACTCTAACGAAGTCAGTAGTGGAGAACCACCAAGAGGTGTGACTTTCAAAGCTTGTTTAGAACAGTCCAAGTGGTACAATATTAAGTCTATAAGGTGTGGGACTGTGGGTAACCGACGTTCAGGTTATATAGCCAACACCATATAGTTATCTACCCCTCAATAAATCAGCGTCAAATTCTTGGCTAAATTCAACTTTTTGAAATGAAGTTCTTATGTAACTGACATTATCGATCAGTAAACTTGATTCAGTCTCAGTCAACTGAAATATACTGAAATTAAACGAAATGCTGTTAGACTTCTGTGAACGTAACTGTAAAAATATGCCGTAGTATTGATTTACTTATTTTAATTTCAACAAAGTACAACTTATCATTATAATTATCACTGGTGTAATAATTTTAAATATTGTACAAGTCAAAAGTATGCCATTGGTTCGCATATATATATATGTGGAACCATACTAAAGCCGAAATGCCATTCGCCTGCTACTTGTTCAGTGAATATGACAAACTTGAAAACGGTTATCATAATTTTCACTTTAATCTCCGCAATTTCAGTCAACTTCTCGAGCGGTGGGCGTCGTAAAAGTCGTCCTCCTGTGCAACCGCGCATATATCACGGTCGTTCGGCAGCGAAAGGACAGTTTCCCTATCAGGTATTGTTGCATATTGAAGATGAAGCGCACGAGCATATTTACGCCTGTGGGGGATCAATAATATCGCGAGATCACATTTTGACTGCAGCACATTGTATAGTCCACGCGAAAACGCCTGGTGACATAACCGTCTACGCCGGTACAATATATTATGCCGATACCGTTGAAAGGCGAGTTTCACAGATGACAATGCATCCTGCGAATGGCGGATATAATAATGACATAGCTGTATTAAAATTGAAAGCTTCGTTAGAGTTTAGCGATGTCATCGATGCCATACCATTAGCTAAGAAAGATATACCCGACGGTGCACCAGTTATCGTGAGTGGCTGGGGCAACGTGAACCGTTTTAGGGCTGCATATGTACTACAATATGACACGGAATATTCGATAAGTCGTGCACAATGCCTGAGGCGTTTGGGTACATTAGGAAGCACGATGCGGTGCATGAGGCGGCCGCTTGGACATGGCACTTGTAGTGGTGATTCTGGTGGTCCGGCGGTTCATAACGGTGAACTTATAGGTGTGAATTCATATATTATAAATGATTGCGGCCTTGGATTTCCCGACGTGTTCACTGATGTGGTTGCGACTAGAGCATGGATACTCAAAAATATGAAGTAATAAAGTTGAAAATAAAGTGATCTTCTCGTTGAGAAAAGCTTAAAAAAATGCGGATAGAAGTTTTCAAAAACAAAAAAAAAATAAAAAATTATGTATGAGTCACGTGATTCAATACGTATTTGGTAAACAAAAAAATAACCGGACAATTTGCGTCCTTTGGATGTGACATAAAGCTAACAATCTGAACAAACTGGTTTTACTTTCTTGACCTGAGAGGGTAAGAGGTTAACAGGAAAATCGTCGGCAGTTAAGGCATCGAAGGTAAAATTCTCTCAATAGAATGCTAACTATAAAAACGGCTAGTTTGTGAAATATGACAGCAGCTCTCTTCAACCACTCAACTATTATATTGTTCGTCAAAAAAGTCTTGAGGTATTTTCGCTAGTTGGCGCTGAGAGCGCGTAGTTCTAGTTTTATTCGTCGCATTGGGTCATGCTATACCTTTTTGGAAAGCTAATTTCATATTTTATTGATTGTCGTTTCTTTTAAGTCGTTCGTGAGTTATGGCGTCGCAAACATGGAGCAAAATAAAGAGAAAATACGGCATATTTTACAGTACTACTACGATAAAGTCAAAAATTCATCTCAAGCCGCCAATAAAATTTGTGCAGTTTATGGACCCGATACAGTTTCCATTTCCACCGCACAATGCACATGTAAGGCCTAAAGTCTTCGCGGACAACTTAGCTTCGATTCGGGCTCGAGCAAAGCATCGAAAATTGGACTCAATGGATGAACCATCGGGGAATTGGCCGCAGCCAACATCGAAATGGATTACCTTTTATATAAAAGTAAGCGGTGCCACGACTAATTTTAATTGCGGCTCCTTGAAAGCCTGATGTTATTTCGGGGGTAAAATTTTATGTCTTTGTCTGTATTTATTTATTAATTTTTCGCGCTTATGGTAGTTTTGAACATTACCGTTATGGGCTGTGCGGGATGTGGAATGTGCAGCGTTATCATCCATTTTCACACAGTAGGTAGGAGTTTTAGAGTTTCTCTGTAAATTAGTTGAAAAAATCTGTAAAATCCAACCCTAATGCAGACAGAAAGTACACAAATATTTAAATATACTCGTATATAGGTAGGACATAACAGGAAAGGAACGAATGTATGTATGCAGGGTCGGTGGTATGTGGTCAAAATACATATACTATATTTATGAATACCCATATAAACCACACTTACTTAAATAAATATATACAAAACGTAATAAAATGAAACAACAAAACAAATTTGCAATTGCGCACTTTGTCTTGACGGAAACTGCAACATTTTTCGGGCACGAAACACATCAAGTTTATATAGGTCACCAATACAAATAGGATACATATAAAAAACGGACCCAAACACATACATACATAAGTAAGTATACGTATGCAAATAGTGCAAACTTTGTAGCCAACGGTAATTATAAAAGTATCTCCACCAAATATAATATGTATGTTTGTCTAAAGAAAAAATTTTGCGAGAGAGAAAATCATAGTTGCTGAAAAACTGACTATTGAGAGAGATGCTCCTCAAATATATAAAATAAAACAAAAACAGGGAACCTTTTTACTAGGAATTTCTTTAAGAGCCATGATGACGATTTTGTGATTTAAAAAAAACAATACTACATGTTGCAAGAATAATGAGCGAAAGTTTGGAAAAAAATAATAACATTTTTGAGTTATGCGAGAGCTCCGAAGGCTCTTAAAAGTGGTTCTCCATTGTTGCAGTGAATCCAGCTTTCTCCATGAATGAAGCCAAAAAATAGAAATTCTCGTTAGAGTAGAAGATACTTTACCTATAATGGCATTTGGTGGGCCGAAATTCAATTTTTAATCAAATCAAAAAACTGACAAAGTTTAGATTATTACAGAACTGAAAAAATGCATGTTCATCGGATCATTTGTCCTCAGGTTATCTCTGCAAATCGAAAAGTTTTGTTTAGAGACAAATATTGTAAAAAGACTAAATAGTTGGGGTGACTGAACTGGTTAACTTATAGATGGTTGTAACTCACAAACTGTTTGAAATATCGATTTAAAATTTTAGTATGTTATTTTTAAAGGTGCAAAATATTTTTTTTTTTTTTTTCAAAATTTCATACTACTTGTAGGTGTTCGCCTTAAAATAGTTTTATTTCGTTGTAACCCTAATTTATTCGCATTATTCTTGAAACAAATAAAATTGTTTGCTTTAGTCCTCATCTGCATACATCTCTCTATCATAGAAAGCCAGAATTAGACTCAGCAATTAAATTGTAGATTATTCTTGGCATTTCGTCATAATGTGTCTAGATTATCCGCAAGGCGGTGCCGCCATAAATAGTCTGCCTACATTCAGTTCAATGGGATTTTCTTGAAACCGACAAATGACCTGATTACTATCGAACCGACATTTTAAGCTGTCTAAGTGAGTGCCGTGGAGTCATGCGTAGATGTTCACGTAAGTGAAGAAAGTTCTCTGAACGTCATTTACTTGGAAGTGGCCAGCGCAGCCGCTGCCTCTTAATTCGCTGAACTATGTCAATGTCGTCGTATAACTTATACAGCCCATCGTTCCATCGAATGCAATTTCGCCGTGGCCAACGCGTAAAGGACTATAAATCTTTTCTCTCGAACACTCGAAACGTCGACTCATCGGATGTTGTCATCGTCCAAGCCTCTGCACCATATAAGCAGGACGGGAATTATGAGTGACTTATAGAGTTTGGTTTTTGAGAAGCCGGTGATGACGTAAGCCTCAATGGCGACCGTTATCAGCCCACTGATTACCGACTATTTGACGCCTTGGCAACATTTGATTTCAACATTACCGCTACTCTTCACACACATCGCATCAATCCGTGTTTAGTTCTTTAAAAAGTAGGGAACCTCGAAATGGGTAACCCTCAATAAAAAAAGTCTCAATGTTTGATATTAACATCTACAGTGTGCTGATATAAGGTCAGCTTTACCGTAAAAATTTAGCAACTTCTAATGCTGGACCAATAGTGTTCACAAGCATAGGCAACATTCAACGAAAGTTCTCCAAAATCTAAAAATCTAAAATTTTATATGCAGAAATACTCATACATACAAATGCATACGCTCGAAAGAATAAATTTATTACTCAACTCATATGGATGCATTTGCGCTTTCACTTTTTACCAATTAATTTGTTTACGAATTCAGAAACTGTGGGAAGCAGCAAGAATCACTGTTGCACCGGAAATGGAAGCGAAACACATTTTAATTGCTTTCAAAATAGCTTGGAAAAAAAAAAGTTCGTCAAGGCCTTAGGCATTTGTACTTCATTGTACATACATATGTACCTATATATATATATGAATATGTATATTGTAAATATACGCGTCTATGTAAATTTGTAAACAACTTCAGATGCAATTATGTAAATACCATTGATTTGTTTTTCAATTAAACAAAAAGGTGTTGAACATTTTATTAGGAAAAAGACATATTCACGCTTTGTTGGTGTAAAATATTAAAGCAAAAGCTGCAAAGAAAGCCATAGCTGGTTGACTTTTTGTTTACTTACATATGTACTTGTGGGTAAGTATGTATGTATGTGTTTGTGTACCAATGTGCAAGCAGGCATTGGACCCTTCCAGTGTAAACAAAACGTGGAATCAACAACAGCAAATCAGTTGTCTTGTTTATCCGTTCATAAGTACTGTTAATATAATATGAGTGCATGCCGGTGTGTGTGTGTGTTTAAGTTTGCAAGTTCGATGATCTTATCAATTCTATTAAGGAGCGTGTGGCAGTGATGAAGCGCACTGACATTTATATTTTCATTTTATTAAAAAAGTGCTCTTTTAATTTGTTCTGAAGGCTTCCTTAGCGCAGAACTAAAGCTTAGTTCCTCGACTTTAATGTTGTAAAGAGCAAGCTATGCAAATGTGTTATGACATTTTAATAAAAACTGCAAAGTAGTTGTATATACCTATATAAAATTCATTTAAAATACTTATGTATGTCAAAGTTCTCAAAAAGATTTAGAGGTTCATAAGATTCACAAGTAGAAACAATGCCCTTTATTATGAGACCTGAAGGTGGCCTGTGTGGGATTCGATAGATAACGAGAGTTGAAGAGGGAAGCGATGCGCACTTGAATACAAAAAAAAGAGAGAGGCCGAAATGAATGAGTACGAAGAGCTTCACAAGCTGGGCAACAGGGGTGATGGCCAAAAATTCTTCGAAAATATGCGGCAACTGACAGAAGGTTTCAAGACCGCAGCATACTCTTTTACAATCCCCAGAGGTGATCTCGTGATGGATGCCCAGAGCATAGTTACATTATGGAGAAAACACTTCTTCAGCCTGCTGAATGGCAGAAAAAGTAGAAAAGTAGATGGCGAACCCGATTTCCCAATCGATGACCATGGAGCGGAGGTTCCACTGCCTGACCATAAAGAAGTTCGAATAGCAATTACCCGTCTTAAGAACGACAAAGCGGCGGGGATCGATGGATTGCCAAGCGAGCTATTCAAACACGGCGGCGAAGAACTGATAAGGAGCATGTGCCAAGCTTGCTCAAAATTGCATATAAGGTTCTATTCATAATTGGATATTATCAGTGTGGCTTTAGACCCGGCAAATCAACAACCGACCAGATATTCACCATGCGCAAAATCTTGAAAAAGAACCGTGAAAAGGGGATCGACACGCACTCTTTGTCGATTTGAAAACTGCCTTTGACAGCATGAAAAGGAGCTGCCGATGTCTGAATTTGGTATCCCCGCAAAACTAATACGGCTGTGTAAACAGACGTTAAGCAATATCAGGAGCGGGTAGGACCTCTTCGAGCCGTTCGATGCCAAACGAGGCTTCAGACAAGGCGACTCCCTATCGTGCGACTTCTTCAATCTGCTACTGGAGAAAATAATTCGAGCTACAGATTTTAATCGAGCAGGTACAGTTCAGGCAGGTATATCTCATGTCATCAAACAAACAGTCGTCGCACTCGCAACAACTAGGCACCACATCACTGCTGACAGTCATAACTTCAAAGTCGTAGATAATTTCGTCTATCTTGGAACCAACGATAATGTCAGCCTCGAAATCCAACGAAGAATAATTCTTATCAACAGGTAATACTTCAAAGTGCTGCAGCTAAAGACCAAACTTTAAAAGTCACTTATTATTCCCGTCTTGGTATATGATGCAGAGGAATGGACGATGACAACGTAATGGGGCCAAGGAACATGTCTTCTAAGTTTAATCAAGATATCTTAATTTATTTACAGTTTCACGGACGGACCGACACACAGTTACCGGAATTTCATCTCTTCACTTCATTCTGTTTATTTAAGTAGTATATATACACATATGAAAATATATTGTATACATATATGTAAGTTCATTAGTTTTAGCTGGTACAAAAAACCGTTAGGTGAGCAAAACCATTATACTCGTTAGTATAACTTAAAAAAAAAAACTTTTCCTTGGTAATATATATTATTTCTAACATAAGTAAGTCCCTCTCACTGGCATTAGCCACCACTGTAGCGCATTCATATGAATTGAAAATACGCTCCGTTGCTCATTACTCTCAAACACATATGTACTCATATTCGCTCTCCAATATTTTCCTCTGAAGCTTTTCGCTGCATTTTCGCGATATTTTGTCATTTCTGTTTTGAGCGTTGCATTCGTATCATTTTTATAACATTGTTGTTGGTCATAAAGTTCTGTGTGTGTGGGTATCGCAACTAATTTAGTTGCATGGACTTTAGTAGGGCTCGTGCGCATCTTTGTTAGCACTCGTGTCAATGCATGTCGTACACTGTGTGGAATTTGTGTAACTGCAATTATATATATTTATTTACGCGATATCAAATAACGGAGACTCTTCATGGATTTTTTTTTTTTAATTTAATGAAAACCTTGGTTTATCACTATTTAAAGTCGTGATCGTCAAACATATATCGAAAATTTAGATTTTCTATTGCTTAAATTAGCCTCGTTTTATCACTGGAGCTCAAAAGTTTGAAACGTCAAGACTTTCATATATAAACAATGCATAATTTGTAACATAAATCGAAAAATCTTTGAGATTAGAGGATAATACATAGAACCAATCCGCTCTAAATCTTGTCAGTTGAACAAGTTTCCCACACAGGAGCTAGATTTGTATCGATCAGTTTTTATGACAGCTACCCCTCATAATATTCCGATATCAGAGATACTGACCACTTTCTTGATGAGGAGAAAACTTGTACAAAGTTTCAGATCGATATATTAAAAACTGAGCGACTAGTTCCTGTAAATAAAAGTAGAGGATTTAGCAATATAATCGACTTAGCGTTCTGATCATCTATACATATGTATATGTATGTACTTTAAAGAGCCTTCTAGGTGTTACGAAGTAATTGTCCGAATAAATTTAGCTTCTTCAGCGTTTTAGAACATGAGTTTAAATAAATGCCGCACAGTGTCGCCGAACTGTTTACTTCCACAGCTGATGATATGGAACCTGGCATGTATAAGTATATACATATGTTTTAGTGTATGACTCCATTGACGCCCCCCAATCGCTTTATTGTTGCCGCTGCATCGTCAACGAATCAACGAATATGCTGCTCAGCGGCAATGCTCTCTGCACTACGCTCAACAGCTGCTAGCGCGATTGCTGCTCAGGCTATGACTTCTAACGACGGGCTATTGCTGTCGGCGGCGGCATTGTGGCCTCAGTTCATTCGGAATTGTTGAGGCGTTTGCACGTGTTCGACTAGAATTGTGGCGGAGAGTCATGCTCAGCACGTAGCGGTGGCGCAATACGGTACTCAATGCTTAGTGGTAATAACAACAACAATAACAAGAGTAGCAACGCATTGCCACCCCTTGAGGCTGGATCAACCACTAGCGGTAATGTTGTGGATGTTGCATCGCATACTATAGCGATAACAACAACAACATATTAGGTGACAAACAAGCAACCCTTGAGTTCATATATCGAGTATATGCTTTTGTTTTTGTGCATTTTCTAACAAACGAACGCTGTGTGGCGCATCGTGAATTTTCGAAAACGCGTTGAAAACTACAACTTTGCGATTCTTGAATTCGCCAGCCATACACAGTGCTACAGTGCGCTGGGGTAGGCCAAGGTGGGATAACAGTATTTCGCGTGCAGCACGCGTGAGTGTGTACAAATTAAATATTCTTAATTATTATATGTTTAGAAAATTCTTAAGAAAGTGATTATGAAGTATTGTTAAATAATTTAAAAAAATCGGAAATTGACAAAAAAATTAATAACCTAAAAGTACTTTATAAAGAAAAAAAATTAATAATATTACAAAAAAATATTTCTAAAAAAATTTAAATATTTTTTGTAAAAAAAAATTATAAAAATGTATAAATCAGTCTTCTGGTGTTTAATTGTGTGAAAATAAATATAATCCAACATATATTTGTATTTAATGGTAATTCAATTCCACGTAATCAGTTTGTAATGCTGTTCTTTCTTGACAGCTGTGTGTCTAAAGTAAATATATTAAATATCTACATAAATAATTCGTGTTATCGTGCATTCTATAGCGATAAAAAGCCGTTATATTATATGTGTTAAGGTGAAATAAATAAGAAAAGTGCGCAAATAACGGTATTATCTTACAATTTCAAGTGAATCTGAGTGCCACATCAAATAAAGACCTAATTACTTACACATATACATTGTATGTACATATTTGTGCCTCCGGCTATACGCATGTGTAAGTGTGACACGCTGGCAATTGCATCCTGCAAGTGCAATAAGCGAACTATCTGCAGTATCCGTGCATACATACAAACACGAAAAAATGGGTGACTGTGTGCAAGTGTGTGCGTAGTTTTCAAGGACGTTTCGCTGGCTTATAAAATCGCAGATATGTAGATAATATATGATCATTTATATGTGAATTTGGAATTATGTAAATTTTGAGTTGTGATTTTTGATGGCATGAAAATTTTTAAAATGGGTTTTTTAAAATATTTTTTAGATAATTTTGGAATATTTAAAAAAAATTTTTTTTTTTCAGATTTTTTTTTAGAAAATTTTTGATTATTTTTATAAAATTTTAAAAATTTGCTGCCAAAAAAGATTTGTGGCGTAAAATTGGTAATAGAAAATGTATGAAATCTTTATATGCATACATATACATGTATGCATATATTATATACTGTACCCAATTAAGCAATAAAATTGTGCAAGTATTAAAGGGTTGAGTTGGATTGGCAGCGAATATTATCAACATACATACATATATATTATATTCTATCGCCATATGGAAAGTAAATTAACTAGTTGTACCCAAAGTTTTTCTGAAATATGACACAAGGGAAGTCAGTACCTAAGAATATAGCGCTTAAAAAACTATATAATATTGAATAGTCGAAAAAGTTTTTTCGTATTTCTAATTAAATCTTCTTTATTCGCATTTCTTTATATTAATACTGATAACTAAATAAGCAAATATGTATCATTCTGGTCGACCACTTTGTGCCATTTTCCGCTAGAGATATTATTATTCCATCAGTGTAAATCGAAATTTCCAGTACGTAAACGAGCGAACCATTCTTGTGATACATGAACTGATTCAGCATCGTCATTCTTCCTTTTTTATACAAAATTTTCAAAATATAGCGAATTTCTTCATTACTTTCATTCATTTTTCCTAACGTGCACTTAGTAGAGGTTGAGCGTAAACTGCGAGTTCCTTCAGGACACAAGAGATCTTCTGAACTACTTGTTAAGAATCAAACTTTAGCTCATGGCAGTCATAAAAGCTCTTAGTAGACATTGACCAATAGGCATTCACTCGTAAGACCAAAAAAGTTCTATGACGGTGACTAAAGTGGGTTTTCTTCGAACTAAAAGATATAGCTAAAACAGATATTAGCCGCTTTAATAAATTTGTGATACATATTCTCAAATCACTTGTCGTTTTATGAGGGTACCATATTTATAAATAATAGATAGGAGTTTTAATATCATACCGGACCTGCGTTCTGAGCTGTCCAAGCGCATGGAACCGGAACGACACTTCAACCTAACCCAACCCAACCTTGGTCAATGCTTGCTCAACTTTACAACGTAATTATGGTATATAAACGAAGAACTCCAAATGTTTCCTTACTTTTTTGAATAGGTAATTTATCTTCAGTGGTCAATGATGATAGTTTCGATGTGCAAACCTTCGTGCCCATAACTACTAGTTAATATAATGTGAATGGCCAAAAACTGATAAATATGTTTAGTTAAAATGTACGCAATGATGTGTGTAGCTACGAAAACGTTTTTGTCCATCTTTAAATGAGCACGAAGCCTTTAAAGTCAAACACCGACATTCTTGCAACTGTGGCGTTTGCTCAACCAAAATTCAAGAACGCTGTATAAACTGTTTTGAGTTGAATAATTTCGCATCCGAAACAGTTAGCAAAAATGCAGTTTGTCTGAAAAAGACGACGGCCATAAATGGAAAACCGAAACAAAGAGTATATAAAAAATAGATAATATAAAAAATTACAAAAATTGCATATGTAACATAAAACAAATTAGGAAAAGCATTTTGCAAGTAAAAAATTAATACCGCAAACTAAATGCAAAGGAAAAATTTATCCAAATAAAGACATTCCAAAGCAGCCATAATATTGGGAAATGGATTCATTAATCAACTATATCATATTCGGGACACGATTAAAGTTCAAATTACTACTAAATTTATATGTCTAACATTGTTGTTACAGAAAAGAAGAAATCATATTTACGATAAAGATAACCTCACACTGTTAGTAGGTAGTTATAGTAAGTTCTTTATCGAATAAGCTAATTTTGTTAAGCCACTTGTACAAAAATTGTGAAAATAACACATTTAATTCAATAATTGCTTAAATTAAATATCCTCTGTAATGAAGCAAGTTATAAGTTCCTTTTTGTAGGCTCTGCTATAGTTTTTTTTTTTTTTAAGAATTAATTTGAAAAAAAATCAGAAATGTCCAGCCAAAGCTCTAAACCAATCTTTTGTTGTTCATAAGATTTAAATGACTTTCAACTTTAATAAATTCAACCAAACACAAATCCATTGCTATACTGGTCGGGAGGGCAATTAAGTCTATGAGTTTAACTGCAGAGACTAGAACGCTGCATAGATCTATTGAAACTAGTTTTCACCATTTGAAACGAATGACATAAGTAAGATCACATTTATTTTCTGTATCTCTAAAACGATATGCGTTTTCAAGATTATTAAATATGTGTTCAGTGTTACAACTTGGAGGACGCATCATAATAACAAAATGATTCAAGTTAACTGAGCCATAAGTTTCATATTTATTTAGTTTGATCTGGCTTATCGCTTGATTCATCAGTAGAAATTGAAAAATAGGAAGTTTGTATGCATAAATTCGTACGTTCTGAATGAATGCACATAAACCACGTTAATCTGTTATAGAGATCAGTACTGGACCTTTAAATTTAGCAATTACAATAAAATTGCTGCATAATTGTGATCAGTTTCGAGGTTCCCGAAACTGTTTCAAGGTTGCTCTTCCTCCCGAAAGCGCAAATTTTTCTTGTTTACATACCCATTGAGCCGAAAATGAGCCTCATCGCTGAACAAAACTTGGCTCGAAAACGTAGGAGCTTCTTGGAACCTTTCAAGAGCCCATTGAGCGAAACGATAAAATTGAACGATTTGTAAACATTGTTCAGGCACAAGTCTTTTCATAATGCCAAACAATACTGAACAAAATTAATACGACAGCTTGACACGACTCATGCGTGATCTGTCAAAAATCGGCTATTGAAAAAAGTACCTCTATTTGAATCACCCGTTATAATAGAAGTCTAAAGTATTATTTTAACTATAAAGTGTAAATGAAATTGTCTGAAGGTAGATGTTTTATAGAATAAGCTATTATGTTTTGGAGTTGGTTCAAGTGATGCGGAACATTAAACAATATCGCATGGGAAAAATTATAAGGTTCACCGAATGCTGCAAAAGATATATCGAGGCTACAGTTTGGAATGAGTTTAAAACTTCAGGATAGTAATAGAATAGGTTCGAAAGCGGTTACCCGCCAGCCATTTTTTTAGAATTATAAATGGTGCTGTGCTTATATCGGAAAGTTTAACTGATTACACATTTACTTCTTGCAACCAAACATAAACCGTTTTTAAGACCAAATGTAGACTTGATATCTACAACTACAATAAAAATTGCTTAGAATCGCAAATATTCTAGGAAATACTGAAAAAAGTAATTAAGAAGAGAGCCAAAAATCAAGTTGCGAAAAAAGATTGGTGCAACTAGCGAGAATAGTAAAAACTAGCGAATTTATTACAAAAAAAAAAAAAGTACAACAACATTGCGAGATACGCATGTATAGCGTGTTAAGTGTCGAGATTAAAGCGGCAATAAAACAACAAAAAGATAGCGGGCAAAAATAATCAGAATTGGTAAGAGATTTGCGAACAAATGGGCATAAAATGTGGCTGATGTCGGAAATTTAAGGAGCTGCGGAGTTAAGCGATACGTAAAGCGTACAAAATGAGATAAATAAAAAAAAAAAAAGAAAACAAAATAAATAAAAATCAAAGGCAACGGCAAACAAGCTGCAAATACAACAGACGCGTAAATATTCAGCTCCAGGCATTATAAAACAACAACAACAAAAATAAAAATAAAAAATAGTAAATAAATTCAACAGAAATGTGTAAAAAAAGGTAAACAAAAAGGTGCAAACAGATATCAAACAACAACAACAACAACAAAGAGCGAGCAGCATTGCAAAATTGCGCAAAATCAAAGCCAAACAAACAATTGCGCGCAGAAACCAGTAAAGCACAAACCGAGAAATCAACAAAAACTCGCCTACAACCGTTCCAACAACAACAACAGTAACAGCACAACGACAACAGCTTTCCGTCAACAAGGTTGAGCAATAGCAACAAAACGGCTTTTCTACAGCAACGACGCCTCTTCGGTGGCGGTGCCTTGGCATCGTCACCAGCGACTGGTGGCGGCGGCGGCGGCACCAACACAGTCACCGAGACCATATTGCAGCGTTCGCAATCACAACAACAGTCGGAAAGGAGTAGCAACTTCAGCTTGAGCAGTCATCACAGCAACAGCGTTGGCAGCGCCAGCAGTATTGGCAGTGGCGGCGCCGAGCGCAGTGTTGGCGAACGCAGTGGCAATAGCACCAGCAATGGCATACTAACTAATGGCAACAACAATATTGCTAGCATTATCAACAGCATCAATAGCAGCAATAGTGGCAGTGGCACTGGCAGTAATCATAATTTTAATAGCAACAACAATTGCAATGGCAATACAAACGTAAATATTGGCAGCAGCAGCGGTGGCAGTGGACGCTATCGGCCGCCATTATTTCCGAAACGTAAGTACTTTATAATATATGTATGTATGTAGATACTTAGATACTTTGAAAGGTGCAGCTAAGTGGGTTTAATGGGTTGTAGATTTACTTTGGTATCGAAATAATATGATCTCCCTTTGGAATCTCTTATATTGAAATTTGTCATTTTGACGAAGAATTTTCCGCAAATTTTAAATCAAACGCAAAATATTCAATTATTTATCAATATTTAGACCAACGAGTTTACAGACCTCGAAACTTTTTCATAAGCACTTATTTTTAGATGGCCTTCAGCGAACTTAGTTTTATCTTTTCGATCGACTGAAAACGGGTTCCATGGAACGTCAGTTTCAGTTTGGGGAACAGGAAAAATCACACGGAGCCAAATCTGGTGAATACGGTGGTTGATCGATGGTATTCATTGTGGTTTTAGTTTTTAAATTCGGTCACAATCGTGGCTCGAGGGGTTAGGGCATTATCATCTTGTAAATGATAATTTCTTTATTTTTCTTTATTCTTCTTTCACAATTCCGGCCGTTTCGATGTATGTTCTCCCGCCGGCGAGTCAATACACCCAAATAGAGCTTCTTGTTCACCGTCTGTCCCTCATGAAAATATTCATAATGCACCAAACCACGAATATGGAAAAAAACAATGAGCATCATCTTGATTTTTGAGCAGCTTTGGCGTAGTTTGTTTGTTTGTGGACTTGCTTTCATTCACACGATCAAGCATATCCGAAGAACACGTTTCAGTTCCCAAATGCCTACCAAAATACCAAAATCAATTCGAATGGACTCGCGAGAGATGTCCAGCTCTTTCCCTCTCTAACACTTTCCTTATGATATTCAAGCACCATTTTCTTAAACTTTTTAAAATTTTTATCTATTGAAAAATGTTTATCTATCGAAGGTCGTTCAGAACGAGCTATCTCTTCAACAATATCTTAATCCTCTATGAAGGGTTTGCCCCACTCGCAGGCTTACTCGATTAGACATTTAAATTTTGCTAGAATTTTTTTTTTTTTGAAATTTCTGTTAATTGTAAAAATCACACTACTGAGGTTTACCGATTTAAGCAGCTACTGTAAACAAACTGGTTGACACATCGCCCTCATATTTGGCATAGTAATTCGGACCAGTCCTATCAACTTAGAAATATACATTTCATATATACAAGTACATAACATCTAATCGTGGAATTCAATTACAATTTTAGGAGGCTTCTTTGTCACAATTTACTTTAGGTTATTTCTTGTTTCAAAATCTGACTGAAAGGACTTTGTAACAGGAGGTCATTTGTTGTAAGAACCAAAACTACTTTTTATAGCCCCTGCGAAAAAAAAAAAAACAGCTTGAGCAGAGTTGAAGGTTATGCCAGTAAATGTTAACATTTTATGTACCCTTTTTCTGGGATCTACTTTACAGTTGGGAATCTGGAAACACAAATACTAACCACTAAATCTTGAAACATCCTGAATTCTTGCGACAATGCTATTTCAATAACAGCTGCTTTGCTAGATTATATTTATTTTATCTACTTATTATCTTATTTTTATAAAATTATTTGATCCAAAGGATCGATGAATGTTTTGTAACCTTTTGATATCTTTTAATTCTAAATCTATAACATTTTTTTATATTTATAAATTGCATAACACCCAGCTGGGTATTGCACAATTTTGTCTTTAGAGATTAAGTCCTTTGTAAAACGTAACACCTCTGTTTTTTTTTTAAGTTACCTTACAAAATCGAAAAATATGCATTTGAAAGTTGAAAACATCAGTAAAATTGATAGGGTCACACGAGATGCCTCTAAATACAATATTATTAGTATTAACTTCAAGCCCATAGAAAGGCAAAGCTAAAGGTTTTCACTTCGCAACACCAAATTTCGGCTTTGCCGGAACAACAGATTATATGCCTTAGTCAACAATGTTAATAAAGAATATGAAAAAGTTGAAGAAAGGGCCAAGTAAGTGATAGCAATTAAAAGGAAACAAAAAATAAGAGAGAATTATGAAAAACTAAATATTTTAAATACGAATTCATTAAACTAAACTCAATCTACGAGTTTTCGCAGAAGTTAAATATAATACACCAAATTTAATTGAAATCGAATCGAAATATTGTAAAAGGGTTTTGGTGAGTCTATTTTATCACTAGCACAAGTATAATATTTGCTTAACACAAAACATTCTCAAGGTCGTGAAGTCATCGAAAACTTTCCCCTTGTGAGTCGATAACATTGAAAAAGATAATGAGTCAGTGCTTTAGAATTTCGGTGTTAGCTTAAGAGAAATAGCAGAGGATCTCAACTTCTCTTTGGAATCGGCCCAACATATTTTGGTTAATATTTTGGGTGTGAAGCAGGTGTGGTACCAAAATAGCTGAACCTTTTGAAAAACGATTGCGAGTAGAGATCACAAAAGTGAAACTTGACAAAGTGGGGGCTCTACTTTTATCAAACGCAGTATTATTGGTGACGATATATCATTAATATGATGTCGGATAATCTAACAAAATAATCTCAATTGAAGCTCATTTATTAGCTTAGATTTGTATTAAAATACGTGAAAAAGTAGTTTGTTGTCTGTCAGTCCGTTCAAATTTGATCAGTTTGTATCAATATATGTACATCATCGAAGTATCTGTACGAATCTAAACATGAGTGTATTTTAAGCTGTTATATGGGTTTCCTTGAATATTTTATGAAATTTTTTTATTTTTATTGCTACCAACATACACTATTAACAAAAAATGTCTTAAATTTTTGCAAACAAATTTTCTTTCATAGCATGATTGCTTATAACACATTAGCAGCATTTAAAGTTTCCTCAAAGTGTGAGAGAATGAATGAGTTGGTGAAGAGCATGAGAACTTACTTGGCGATTTTATGTTGCTGGGGAAATTGTTCGCGTTGCCGAGTGTTGGGTTTAATAAATCCACATTATTGCGTTTTAATATTCTTAAAGTCGTATATATTAACTGCAGTCCAACACGAGAGCACCGCTCTTTTCATTTAATGGAAAACGCTTTTGAACCCTTTTTCAAGCACTCTCCACTCTCCACTAGACATACATACATTAAAATAGGCATGCACGTTTGTAATAGCAGTGTTGTTGTTGCTATATACAGTTCTTGGTATGCACTAAACAATCGCATGCTTTCTTCCGTCAACATTTCACTATGGTGCCTTTGGTTGTTTGTTTGGTGTTTGGTGGTCTGTTTGGCTTCGCCTTTGCCTTTTTTGCTCAAAACTACTTTTTATTAATTCCGTATTTGTGTTTTTGTTTTTTTTTGTTTCTGTTGTGTTGCTTTTTATGCTGCCTAATATACTCGTACTGCTTTTGCTGCCAATATATTGGCGCTGAGATGTTATTGCTGTTGTTGTTGCTGTCACATTTGAGCACATAAATGCCTCGGAGCGCTTTCCACGGCACGAAGCAATAACCACCGACCGACCAACTGGCTATCGTTCACCAACCATTGGCAGCAGTCACAGCTAACCAGCTATTGTACAGTAACAACAACAATCGTCAGCAACAACATAATTTAGCCGCGCGACGACCAACAATAACAGTAGTTGACATGTCGTTAACGTTCACAGAACATTTACAAACAAAATAGTTAGTATTCGAGCTAACCATAAAGAAGCGAAAAAGAAAAGCATAGCAACGATGGCAACAACAACAACGGAGAAGAAATAAAATGAAACCGATATTTGCTAAGGTAACAATGGTTGAGACAAAAGTTTCAAACATTTAGCGCTGTTGCTGCTACTGCTTTTGCTTCCATTATTGTTGTTGTTACTACAGTCCATAAATGGTGGCAGCGGTTGTTGTGGCTTGCATTTTCCTTTTTGCCATAGTTACGCGACAGCAACAGCGATGACAACAACAATAGTAACAACAACAGCTATAATAACAGCAACAACTATAATATGAACAATAGCAACGACAACAGCAACAACAATAAAAATAACAACAATGACAGCAACAACAACAACAGCAGCAATAACATAAACAACAGCAAACGCCAAAAATAACAACAACAAAAACAGTTACAGCGATAACAGCGAGAACAACAACAACAAAAATAACAACAACAATAAAAATAACAACAACTCCAAAAGCAATGAAAACACTTTTATAGACTTCTTACCTTTACGCTTACAAGTCTGTTAGTGTCGA